CACTATAAAACCAGCTGAAGTCTGGGCTAGTACAAGCAGCCGCACCTACACATACACACGCATGCACGTCGTCACATGAGGAAATATTCTCAAGCACGACGTTAAACCCAATTTCACCTCACCTCACCTCACCTCACCTCACCTCACCATGCCGAAGACCCGGGTTACAATGTATGAAACCCATTTCTGGAGTCCCCAGCCATGATATTGTTGGAATATTGCATAAAAGCGGCTTAGAGCTAAATTCACTCACTCATGCATGCACAAGTGTGAATTAAGTTTAGGAGTTACTGAATTAAATTTAACAGAGGCAAATATCTTGGAAAGAAATGATCTTTTTGTTTTGAAGAGTATAAGAGTGAAATAACTGTCAAGACTGTCTCAATACTTAGAAACTGTGAAGATTTTCAAGTGTGGCTGTCGAGATAATTTGAGGGCAAAAAACCTTCATTTACTTCCCATTGACCACAATTGTGTCCCGAATCAATATACTGTGACGTAAGTTTGGTGCTTGAAAAGCAGGAGTATTGACTGTGGAACATGTCCCCGCCTTGTAGCCACCCAGGACCAACACTGATGAAGTTGTTCACAAGTAGGGCCTTCCAGAGTCGGCCATCTTGGACTTGTTAGATTGCTTCCTTTCAGCGTGTGGACTCAGCCTCTGTGTGCTTGGACAAGCAATTTGCTTTTAATGGCTGCACAGCGTACATTTTGTAACCGCCAACTTTTTTATATGTCAGCTCAGTTTGATAGAGATCATCAACCAAGAGGCTTTCATGGATTTGGGGGTCAATCAAGCATACACACATTGGACTCAAGGGGAAATGTTATTACACGTTCTTCTGTGACGATGAGGATATCAGAATGGAGTGAAGATAGTTTCATGAGCGACTTTTGGGCCATTTTCCCTGATTGTAAAGGGACAGATTAAATGGGGACTTGATGGTTAGGTGTTATACGTTCCTGAATGCATATTCACTTGATGCGTTGCAGCAGACGCAGATATGATAAGGGAGTCTAAGTTTGACGTGATCTTGAAATAGATGAACTGCACCATGGGAGAAGCTATAAGTCAATTATGAGGCCCTGCACTTCGTATTAGCCAATCAGTGGGCATGTACGGGAAACATTTCGTTTGTCGTTGAGAGTGCTTGAGGTTGACAGAAGGCAATGATCCAGATAGTGTATGGTAGAGTGAGTAAATAACGATTAAGACTGTCTTCTGGAAGTCTTCTGGTAACATGCAAACCATTTCCATGGGAACCCATCAGACCCAGCTCAAGTGAAGGATTTGAGCTCCCAAGACCAGTCTTTTGTGTAGAATATTTGCTTTATTAAGTAAAGAAAAATGAAGACATTTCAGTTTTACATTATATTTTTATCAACTGCCACGTGTTTAGCGCGAAGCATGGGATATAGTATTAGGCTCCGTCCGTCTGTATGAATTGGAATATCTTAAGAACCGTTGACTAGATTCTTTTCATATTTGGTACCTAGGTTCATCACAGTATAAGAAAGGTCCCAGTCAGGTTTGGTGACCTTGACCTTAATTTCAAGGTCACAAGGGGACTTTAACATTTTACCCTTGTCAGCGAGATATCTCAAGAACCATTCACTAGATTTTCTTCATATTCAACACCAAGCTTTATCTAGGGAAGGCGCAGGGCCCAGTTGATTTTGGTGACCTTCACTTAATTTTCAAGGTCATGGCAACACTTTGAAGATTTCAGCATATTAACCTGCATGTTATGCTTGTCAGCGACATACCTCAAGAACCATTCACTGGACTTTCTTTATATTTGACACCAAGCTTCTTCTAGGGAAAGTGCAAGGCCCAGTTGATTTTGGTGACCTTCACTTAATTTTCAAGGTCACTGTGACACTTTGAAGATTTCAGTGTGTTAACCTGCATGTTAAGATGGTCAGAGAGATATCTCAAGAACCATTCACTGGACTTTCTTTATATTTGACACCAAGCTTCTTCTAGGGAAAGTGCAAGGCCCAGTTGATTGTGGTGACCTTCACTTAATTTTCAAGGTCACAAAGACACTTTGAAGATTTCACCATGTTAAATTGCATGTTAAGATAGTCAGCAAGATATCACAAAAAACATTAACTGGATTTTTTTCATATTTGACACCAAGCTTCATCTAATGAAGGCGCAGGACCCAGTCAATTTAGGTGACCTTCACATAATTTTCAAGGTCACTGCGACACTTTGAAGATTTCAGCATGTTAACCTGAATTCACTGGATTTTCTTCATAGACTTTCAAGACTTCCCTTGAATATTTTTCAATAAGCAATTTCTTTAGTACCATTTTTGCATATTTCATACACTATGACATTCATGTCAAGGTCAAAGTCAGTCTTGAAAATATTTGTGTGTTTGAACAACTAAAGAGCAAGATATCAAGAGAGGTTGACTGGTCATGTTTTTGTTGACATTTAACTTCATCTTAAACTTTCATTACTTTTTTGGCATTTCCATGGCAAAAGGTCAACTTTGACTGAAATTGGTGATAGTGCTCTTTTCCGGAGCAGAACTCTAAAACCGTTCACTATTTCATCACCAAACTTGGCACATAGATAGATCTGGTGGTGTACTGGTGCCTTTTGGTAGTTTTGGAATTCTGAATAAAATATTTTTGGCGTTTCCATGGCAACGAGTTCGACTTTGACTGGAATTGGTGGTTGTGTTCTTTTCCGGAGAAGAACTCTAAAACTGTTTAATATTTCTTCACCAAACTTGGCACATAGATAGATCTGGTGGTGTACTTGTGCCTTTTGGTTGTTTTGGAATTCTGAATAAAATATTTTTGGTGTTTCCATGGCAACAAGTTTCACTTAGCCTGAAATTGTGGTAGTGCTTTTTTCCGGAGCTGAACTCTAAAACTGTTAACTATTTCTTCACCAAACTTGGCACATAGATAGATCTGGTGGTGTACTTGTGCCTTTTGGTTGTTTTGGAATTCTGAATAAAATATTTTTGGCATTTCCATGGCAACAAGTTTGACTTACACTGAAATTGGTGATAGTGCTTCTTTCTGGAGCAGAACTTTCAAAACCTTTCAATACTCTCCTTCCACTTTTCTATATACACACCTTTCTATATATGTCACCATTTGACATAATCATAACTCGTAGACATAATCATGAAGAGTATTTTGCCATTGCGGGGGATATTGATGACTTTGTCTTCTTGTTAAGTTTGATTTGATAATTTGCGGCAGGGGATTATGTCACCTTAGTGACAATGCTTGTTAGTTTTTGGTTTTGGAATCGGATATGAAAAAAATAACTGCATGTGCAGGGAGAAGCTTGGAGTTATCGTCTTTAATGACTGTTTTGGAAGCAAGTTTTAGATGATGAAATAGGTTAGCTCTGGTGAAATGTCTGTCCAGCATGCATTATAAATGTGATGCCGCTAAAACACTTCCAGCACCCAGTCTATGTATGAAAGGCTCATTGCAGGTGATGACAGTTCTGGGCTTTGTTCAGGGAAGATATCACTAGGCTGTCATCACAATCATGTCACTGAATGCTGGTTGTTGTTAAACATGCTGAAAAATCCAAGGGGGAAAAATCTTTTTTATATAAAAAATTCACTATTAGGATATGTTGAACGCTTGCTCCTTCATCAAGTGTAAAGTGTACTATCAAGGATGGGGACGTGACAAAAGTGTTTTGTGATGTGTAAATGTCTTGCCATAAAACTTGCAGGATAATGTTTAAAAGATGATGTTATTGGTTCCATTTTGTCTAACTGTCCTTGACCTTGGTAGATAACTGGAACTGGTGTGCCCCCATCTTGATTATTTAGCCGAGGCCTTGATTAATTGTATTGGCTGCATCTGGGATCATAAGATTGTAGATTCAGAGTTACAATCTTGTTAATCAGTCCAGCCGCTAATCAGAAAAGTAAGAATTCTATGGCAGTTTCACATGGAAACATAAATTTGCAAATACAGGTTGGCACAGTTTTCACATCTTCCATTTAAAAAATCTGGACACCATTTTTTTTTTAAGATCATGTGATATGTTGGCAATATCTGATTGGTTGTAATTACCAATATGTGTTTGACAGAATTGGGTTTGAAAACACTGAAATGTCCTGAATACCAGTTCTATTTTTTGCCAGTAGTTCATCAAACAGAATTGCGGTGGTTTTCACTATGTTCACACATACAAACCTTAGTCTGTAAAGATATTTCAGGCAGCTGGTTTGTGAATTCAAACAAGGATTTATAGAAATATATATAGAAAGTATATTCCCATGGTGGCCGTGACATTGACAAATCAATATTTGTATGCTGAACAAAACTTAAAGGTGAAAGTTTTCGCCTTTATGTGTATCACTTCTAAATGCCATTCAAAGACTTCAAGAACTTAAGGCATGAGTAACACTTTGTACTGAAATTTGTGTTTGTCTTCCTCTATAAAATATTCCCCATATTCATGATTTTTAGGTCTTATTGTTCAGTAGATATTATATTTCCACATGATGGGATCCCATTTTTACAGAATATTTTTTTGTAATGCTGTTTTCATTTCAGTGCAGAGGAAACGGAGGATGATTTTTTTCTTCCATGAATTTTGTCTTCTTGTTTATTTTTCTACAGTAATATGCATTGTAGATTACATTATTCACCAGTGGTTCAATGTCTGGTACTCATGCTTGTGTCAACTTTTCCCTTTCCTAGTTACCCGTGAAGGTCTGGGTTAGAATATTGGCCTTCAGTAACCCATGCTTGTTGTAAGCGGCGACTAACTGGATCGGGTGGTCAGGTTCTCTGACTTGGTTGACACATGTCATCGTTCCCAATTGTGCAGATCGATGCTCATGTTATTGATCACTGGCTTGTCTGGACCAGACTCGATTATTTACAGACAGCCGCCATATAGCTGGAATATTGCCGAGTGTGGCGTAAAACCAAACTCACTCCCTAACTCACTCACCCTTTTGCTTCTGAAGTCTCAAATCTGCGTTGTTGTTTTTCAGACCCGCCTCAGTGATCGCGAAGAAATCCGTCGGAAGTTGGCAATGGGCACAGATGAAGAATACTATTATAATGAAAGGACTTTCAAAAAGCCAAACTTACAAACCCGGTTACAGAGTGGTATGAACTTACAGATATGTTTCATGAATGAGGCAGTAGGGGAGCAACAAGATTCAGGGGAGGCAACTGTGGAGAAGAGCAGTAGCATACCACAAGTGAAAAATGCACAAGAGGTAAGCACAGAAAATGTATTTTAAAGTGGTGATCAATGTCATGAGTGGGGTTTGTTTTGTTGGGGTTTTTTGGGGGTGGGGGTGGGGTAATCACTGCCTTGATGTATATGTTGTATTGATTCTGGTGTTTTCATGGTGAGATGGTCGACCCTAATGTGGTTAGACTGTCTGCAGGGAGGAGCGGTAGGTTGGTAGTCTCATCCCCGACAATGTCGTACTGTACCATTTTAAAATGGTACTTGTTTTTACCATGCCTGGTGCTAAGCATTGAGAGAATAAAACAAGGACTGGTTGGCTTGGCACTGGTATACTGAGTAGGGTGTCCATTTTAAACTTGGGATGGTATTTCAGTGAGCTAGCTCTTAAAACCAGCGTTAGTCAAGACAATTACGAGCAGCAGCACATGCCAGCATACACGTAGCTGGATAAGAGAATTAATCTCAGACACAGTGTTAAACCCATTTTACCGCACTTGAGATGACGTGGTTTAATGCATTGGTATTGTTCCATTAGTGAAGTTTTCTCAGACACTTTTGTGCTGATAACAATACATCCCTATTGAACATTCTGGTGATGGTGTTTCTTGAGTAAGCTGTAATAGCCTCTCATCCCAGGGTGATTCTGCTGAAGATTTTAAGGTAATGTACTGAAATAATCACCTTCTATTAATGCCTTGCAAGTTGTGTGATTCCCACCCCATGTCCTCAGACAACTTCCCTAGGCCTTTCCTGAAAACTCAAAATGCAAAAGTGCTTTATATTTTGGTCTAAAATGTCAATTTTTTCCTGAACCTCCCAAAATAGGTGTATTACTTTTTAGGACCCTCCCCTGCAGACTGTTAATTATCCCCCGCAACGCGTTTTGAGGGGGGTATTAAAATGGAGTCCGTCCGTGCGTGCGTGTTTCCGTCCGTCCGTCTGTGCACATTTGTCTTTTAAAGCAGCAGAACTCTAAAACTGTTCAATGTTTCTTCACCAAACTTGGCACATAGATAGATCTGGTGGAGTACTGGTGCCTTTTGGTAGTTTTGGAATTCTGAATAAAACATTTCTGGCGTTTCCATGGCAACAAGTTCAACTTAGAATGAAATTAGTGGTAGTGCTCTTTTCCGGATCAGAACTCTAAAACCGTTCAATGTTTCTTCACCAAACTTGGCACATAGATAGATCTGGTGGTGTACTGGTGCCTTTTGGTAGTTTTGGAATTCTGAATAAAACATTTTTGGCGTTTCCATGGCAACAAGTTCAAGTTAGAATGAAATTAGTGGTAGTGCTCTTTTCCGGAGCAGAACCCTAAAACCGTTCAATGTTTCTTCACCAAACTTGGCACATAGATAGATCTGGTGGTGTACTGGTGCCTTTTAGTAGTTTTGGAATTCTGAATAAAATATTTTTGGCTTTTCGGTGGCAACAAGTTCGACTTAGAATGAAATTAGTGGTAGTGCTCTTTTCCGGAGCAGAACTCTAAAACCGTTCACTATTTCTTCACCAAACTTGGCACATAGATAGATCTGGTGGTGTACTGGTGCCTTTTGGTAGTTTTGGAATTCCGAATAAAATATTTTTGGCGTTTCCATGGCAACAAGTTCAAGTTAGAATGAAATTAGTGGTAGTGCTCTTTTCCGGAGCAGAACTCTAAAACCGTTCACTATTTCTTCACCAAACTTGGCACATAGATAGATCTGGTGGTGTACTGGTGCCTTTTGGTAGTTTTGGAATTCAGAATAAAATATTTTTGGCTTTTCCGTGGCAACAAGTTTGACTTAGCCTGAAATTGGTGGTAGTGCTCTTTTCCGGAGCAGAACCTTAAAAACCTTTCAATACTCTCCTTCCACTTTTCTAAATACACACCTAAATATTTGACATAATCATAACTTGTAGACATAATCATGAAGAGTATTTTGCCATTGCGGGGGATATTGATGACTTTGTCTTCTTGTTTTATATGACCCTCTCTTCCTTAATAATAATGAAGAAGGATGGTTACAGCGTGTCCCGGGTCACTCCCGATCATCGTGGGCTCAACCAGTGCAGTGGTTAGCCTAGTTGTTGAAGGGTTCGATTCCCCACATAGGTACTGGTACAATATGTGAAGCCCATTTCTGGTGTCCCCTGGTGTGATATTGCTGGAATATTGCTGGAAGTGGCGTAAAATTATAGTTACTCACTCACTCAGACTCACTCTTGCTGACAACCGTGAAGACAACATTCACTTACACATCAGCCCCAGTCACCTGAACTATTTAGAAATATATCACAGACAATACATATTGTCTAAATAATGCCAGTTTCTGACATTTTACAGTGGGTCTTGATGAGAGGGAATCCCGATTTCTCGATTCCCCAGCGCATCATGCATCCATTCTGTTGTGATATCTACCTTGAAACCATTCCACTTATAGCTCTGTTATGTTTTCATTGTGAATGTTATAGCACTAATCATAATTGTGCTTTTAAATTTTACTCTTTTGGTGAAAGGATTGACAGGAGGCTATGTGGTAACCTATTGGTTAAAGTGTTTGCTTTTTATGCTAAAGACCAGGTGGGATCTTACTGGTTGTTGAATTCACGCTCATGAGCAAGAGAAATTTTATGCCAAGTTGGTTAAAAGAGGGCTTGAAATAGATGGTGATGTCACCTGTGGTTGCGAACAGGTACCAGGCAAAAGATTGATATGACAAACAGGAAACTTGAAATAAGAGATGGTGACATCACTTTGATGCTGTGGTGGCAAAGATCTACATGGAGGTATTCCACACAGGAAAAGCAGGATGGATAATGCAAACTCTTTTTAGTTCTGGTCTATGCTTGAAATAAACCCTTGAAGACTGGTTGCATTCGAAGCAGCTCCATCTTCTTTCCATAAAGATTTGGAAGATGTAGGAGTATAGATTTGTGGCCTTTTATTCTCCTTCCACCAGAAGTGTCGCTAATTTGGAGTTGGCGGTGTCCCATAGGACCAACCAGTTGACATCTACAAAAATAGACAATCGAACATGCCTGCGATTTATTTGAATTCAATTCGTCGTAGATCTTATTTCAAAGAGTTTTGCGGTTACGTTGGAATTAATTCTCCGCAGAAAATGAGCCATTCCTTTGATGTCATTAATGGTGATTAAAAGCTATTCTGATGTTGGGTTTGGCCCGTTAATCAAATTGTAACGTATTCACTTACTGCTGACGCGAATGTGTATATCTGGTAATGAATAGGGAAACAGAGGGTGTATCTTAACTTCCAGACTCGAAAATTCAATTATTTTGGCCAAGTATTGAATATATGTGCTTCCAGATCTCCTATGGGAGAATTTGATTGATGCTTTTATGTCCTAGTCCTGAATTTCTGTTTTGTATAAACATTGAGAATTACTTCGCTCAAAACCCTAAAGAGATTAATTATTTTGGGAAAAATGGCAAGTTTCAAGACTTAACCAATATTTTTCAAGCTGTAATTGCAAAGCTACAACTCTAAGGAATATTTGATTCTGATTGATTAGTTTACCTTATTCCGCAGTGAAAACAAATCCTAGATTCCGATTGGTCAATTTGTTGTATTTTATCTAATGCCACTGCAAACCGAATCGACCTTTCATGCTTTGCCCTTAACACATTATTATGTTAATAAATTAGGTTTGGTATAGAAGTCAGCTAAAAGTTAGTCTAATATGATTAGTCGTGCAGGAAGCTTACATCTACATTGAAAGCATGGTAGATCTATCACAACATACATGATATGATATCTGTGGGATAACCAAGGCTTCAAAAATAATATGCAGTGGTCAAATTCTGACAAACTAAAGATGCTTCCACATGTAATGTGTTTGCTGTTACAATATGTCTTGTTTTATCCCTATATAAACTAAATTTACATATTACCACCATTTTACTTGTATTGTTATACAGATGTAAAACTAAAAAATGAAACATACCACTTTATGGATGACAACTTCTTATTTATTGCATAGAGTGATGCTTTCGATGTAGATTCTTACATCATTATCAAGCTACTTTTAGCTTGATAACGGTGTAAGAATCTACATCGAAACATCACTCTATGCAGTAAATAAGAAGTTGTCATCCATAAAGTTGTATGTTTCATTTTGAGTCACCAACTTCTAGAATGTCCATCAAACAATTAGATGTAAAACTATACTATATGTGTTTACTTTTCAACCACAAATTCACAGGGTCTTTTGTTTCTAAACTCCACAATCAGTTCTCAATCATTTTCCAGTAATATGACAGTAGTTTGTAAATATTCAAGTCAGGGCCAGACATTCCATTGATTGATATCAAGAGCATTAATCTTTTGGAAATGATGACATGCAATTAACAAAGCCTGACCATCCAATCCACTTGTTGCCTCTTATGACTATCTTCAGATGCTTGGAACATAGTCTTACCCAAAGTCCACATGGAGGCAAAATCAACAAAATAGTTACTTCTGAAAACAAGAAAAATGTGGTGCAAGGGTGTTGTTTTTCACTGACCATGGTACAAGTAGTGTGAACTAAATCACTAAATCCTCAGTATATCGTATGACCAGAAATTATTGAGAATTTTAGGAATATGTTTAATTGGATTTCTAGTATAAACAACCATGACCAGCTATCAAGTGCTTGGTTTCATTCAAGAGAGACAACTCCGTTAATCCTTTTTCATTAGTTTGTGAAGAGTTATCCCCCTTTGTTTACTTGCTAGCAGACGACATATTCAGTGATCCTCAGTATTGATGATTTAGAGAAGAGGAAGTTGATGTTAGAGTATTGTAACAAGGACATCAGATCAGCTAAAGTGATTTCAAGTAGAACAGGCACCCCTTTGTCCACTGTTTATAGTGTTTTGAAAAATATTGCAAATGGATATGGCATTGAGCACCAGGGAGGTATAGGTAGGCCCAGAAAATTGACTGTCGGTGACAGGAGGCAGCTTGGTATTCTTATTTCTAAAAACAAACGAAGGAGTTTAGAAAACTTAAGGCTGGATATGATTGATAGAGGAACTGTGGCTGTCTGTAAGGAGACAATTAGAACTGAGCTGCATGCAATGGGTTGGCAGAAAAGTCGAGGAATTCAATCACCGATCATGAAACCTGAACAAAATGAGACACTGTGATTTTCTCAGATGAAATTAACTTGAAATTCTGGACCAAACAACTGAAAAACCTTAGTATCAGCGCCCAATGTACAGTCCGAAATTTAACGTGTGGGGTGGCATATCTGTGTTAGGGGCAACGCCCCTCTGTGTATTTGAAGGGAATATGAACAGTGAGCGGTACACAGATATTCTCGAGGGACATTTACTTCCATCTGCTCACGTGTTCTATGGAAAGTTTTTGATTTTCCAGCAGGACAACGACCAAAACATCGTTCAAAACATTCACAGGCCTGGTTTCAGACCCAAAATATGACATTATTAGACTGGCCAAGCTATAGCCCTGACCTAAATCCAATAGAAAATGTTTGGGGACTTATGAAGGAAAGTGTCAATAAGAAAAATCTGACAAATATTGCTGAAATGAAAGAAGAGGTGGTCCGATATTGGGACCCACGACTTTCTAACTTCTTTGATCAGTAGTATGCCCCGCCGCATTGAAACCTGCATTGCTGCCCATAGTGACTTGACAAAATACTAACTGTTCACCTGTCTTTGAATCTGGAGTTATCATCTGCTAATATTCACATTAATACGTGAGTAATGAGTAAAAAAAAAAAAAAGTCTTTAAATTCTCAATAATTTCTGGTTGTACTGTATATGCAGTGGATTTGTTTCCCATAGGGTTTAATTAATTGCAGTCGTATCAGCACCACACCACAGATATCACTTCACACATACCAGTGTAGGTTATAAATTGTGGACACCATTAGAATCTTATTGTAATGTAACGTTGGAAAGAAGCCACACTTGAAACAGTGCCTAATCTGAAAACTAACTTTGTTCGACATTTGTGTTGTTTTTTTTAAAGAATTTTTGTTATAAGAGGATAAGTAATAATAGGTAATAGAGAAATTATTGATTATATGTCATCCTGATTTTATTGAACTCCTGTAAGAATTCATGTGTTTCATTCTTTACCTAAAAAATTCTGACACAGTTTCATATAATCAGAATACTCGGTTTCATACACATGCTCCGATAATGGTGTAGATGGCTCTATGACTTTCAGTGATGATACAGCAACCTTTGTGCTAATGTTGACCTGTTGAGCTCTCATATAGGTGAGCTACAGCACTCTGTGTTGGGAGCGCTGGGAACAAATTGTTATTTATCATAATGAGTTTAAAACTTCTAAGTGTTGTTTTGGTTAATAAAAGAAATTAAGAAAATAACTCAGTTTGTTAAGAGACATTCCACGCAAATAGAAAATGGAAGCTGTATTTGCGTGAACTGCATTTTACTTTGAATTCTGAAAGGACTTTTTCTTGCCAACCTGACCTTTTCAGCGAGAGAAATGTTCTATTTAGGGTATTTTGACACGTCTAAACTGTTTGACCCCAGTGAAGCAAGTTGTCAAGTTTGTTCAATGATTGTGTGCGAAAGCTGTCAATAATATTTAAGCATTTGACGTTTGGAAAAATCTGAGAATTTGGATATTGATCTGTTGGCCTCTGGAGGCAGCAGGGACCGAACAAGTCAAGAAAAACTGAATTTTGAATAAAGTTTGTCAGATTGATTGTTAATCTGTGGTGACGGAATGATCTTGTGTTAAAGTGTCGCCATTACTCGCTGAAGGATTCATTTGCAAGAAAATGATCGCGTGTTGAGTATTAGACATTGAAACTTTGTAGTGGTTAAAGGCTGGATAGGAACCAGCACGCCATGTGTGAACAGGAAGACAGAGGGATCAGATTCATGTTTACTTTGTTCACAATCAGTTAATGTATTTTGTTTGATGTAAATCCCACATGTTGCAACCATTAGTCTGCTACGATCATCCGGGTTTACATTTATATCCAGGCTATCTTACAGATGCTACATATTGATTTGTTTAAAACGCAACTGCTTCATACATCCAACCCACATCTAATAAAAGGTATGCCACATGTTGTTGTCATGGTAACACCATCTTTAGTAACAGTATCAGTCATTGTAACACTTGCTGTAATATGGGTTCCAGATGGGTGAAATATGTTGAACCAGTTGTTATGGTAACACACTAGCTGTAGTATGGGTACCAGGTGGGTGAAATATGTTGTGCCAGTTGTCACTAGCTGTAGTATGGGTACCAGGTGGGTGAAGTATGTTAATCCAGTTGTCATGGTAACACCAACTGTAGTATGGGTACCGGATGGGTGAAATATGTTAAGCCAGTTGTCATGGTAACACCAACTGTAGTATGGGTACCAGGTGGGTGAAATATGTTAAGCCAGTTGTCATGGTAACACCAACTGTAGTATGGGTACCAGGTGGGTGAAATATGTTAAGCCAGTTGTCATGGTAACACCAACTGTAGTATGGGTACCAGATGGGTGAAATATGTTAAGCCAGTTGTCATGGTAACACCAACTGTTGTATGGGTACCAGATGGAGGGAAGATGTTCAGTGAGTAGCGGCAGCTGTATCTCACCAGCTTGATTACACTGATCAGCGACAGCCCCTGCCTGTGGATGCCATCAAGTCAGTATCCATTTAAGACATGCATCAGTTGGGTCAGGTTCCCACATCAAACTGTCACACAAGGATATCACCAGAATACTGTATAAAGCTGCGTTAAACCAAACTCAAACAGTGTGATCTATTCAGCGTCTGTATAGATCACACTGTCAGGTGGTCTCGGTGAGGCTTCACTATAGGATGGTGCAGAGAGTTCAGTATTACCGTCTTGTCGATATAGACTAAACAGGGGAGGTGAGGAAGGGAGCATGGTGGAAGCCTGGTGGTTAAACTGTCCAATTGGCACACTGAAACCTGATGGGTGCACTATGTGGAGCCCATTTCTGGAGTCCCCACACTGTGATATATTGGGAAGGATGCTGATAGTTGTGTAACAACTTACTTTCTCACTCACTCACTCACTCACTCACTCACTCCTCACTCACTCACTCACTCACTCACTCACTCACTCACTCACTCACTCACTCACTCACTCACCCACTCACTCACCTACAGTAGGTTTGTCATATACTGTTAAGGCCTTTGGGACTTGGGGTAAAAAGTGACATGACAGTTTTATGGGGGACTGATTTATTGTATTGATCAGACGAAAGTGATCATTGATTGGGATGCTCAGTTACTGAGTCACTTGTGTACTTATTTCACTCACTCACTCACTCGACAACTCAACAACTCACTGTTCTATCTTGCAGCCAAAACCGGTCACCAGTGGTTGTCAGTCTCTGGAGCCTGGCTCCAAGTCCGGCTCCAAGTCCAAGTCTAAGTCAAGCTCCAAGTCCAGTCATCAGCTTCCCTCCATACTCGTGGAAGATGATGAAGACTTCTTTAAGAAACAGGCTCGACTCCAGGATGAAGCCAAACTGGCACTAGCCCAGGTAGGTCCGACTAGCACAGTAGGTCCTGCTAGCCCAGGTATGTCCGACTAGCACAGTAGGTCCTGCTAGCCCAGGTAGGTCCAACTAGCACAGTAGGTCCTGCTGGCCCAGGTAGGTCAGACTAGCACAGTAGGTCCTGCTAGCCAAGGTAGGTTCGACTAGCCCAGGTAGGGTCCGACTTGCCCAGGTAGGTCCGACTAGCACAGTAGGTTCTGCTAGCCCAGGTAGGTACGACTAGCACAGTAGGTCCTGCTAGCCCAGGTAGGTCCGACTAGCACAGTAGGTCCGACTAGCACAGTAGGTCCTGCTAGCCCAGGTAGGTCCTGCTAGCACAGTAGGTCCTGCTAGCCCAGGTAGGTCCGACTAGCACAGTAGGTCTGACTAACCCAGGTAGGTCCGACTAGCACAGTAGGTCCGACTAGCCCAGGTAGGTCCGACTAGCACAGTAGGTCCTGCTAGCACAGTAGGTCCTGCTAGCACAGTAGGTCCTGCTAGCCCTGGTAGGTTCGACTAGCCCAGGTAGGTCCGACTAGCCCAGGTAGGTCCGACTAGCACAGTAGGTCCTGCTAGCCCAGGTAGGTTCGACTAGCCCAGGTAGGTCCGACTAGCACAGTAGGTCCTGCTAGCCCAGGTAGGTCCGACTAGCACAGTAGGTCCTGCTAGCCCAGGTAGGTCTGACTAGCACAGTAGGTCCTGCTAGCCCAGGTAGGTCCGACTAAAGTACTGTCGGAAATGCTAGAAAAATGCTTTTTGACTTATATTTAAAATTCAGAGGTATTACAGTTACTTAAATAACAAATATCACTTTAAGAAACATCTACCTAATGTAGACCGAGGGAATAAATTTTGAGACATGCCCTAAAATGTGTTTTTACTGATGAAAATACCAAAAACTTAGAAAAATAAGCGGTAGTTGGACGTTGTTTGATACAAACATTAACTGCCTGTGTTACGTCATCAGCATGCACAGTATCGACAGGTGAAATTGACACCTGAGCACAGGCTCGGGGGAGGGGTCATCTCAATAACATGTTTTCTTCAAAATGTTGAATAGGTGTACGTACAGTATACGTATTGGTTATGTAAGGGATCATTTGTGTATGTGTGTATGTGTGTTTGTTTTGAAATAAACATATGAACTACTGTACAAAGAAAGAATCCTATCACTTATCTTATCAATTGATTGTAGAAATGTGCAACGTTTTAATAAATGTTTTGTATGTCAACAGTATATTTCATTGCAAAAATATGGATGTAATTTGGTCAGTTTAATCTAGTTGTCAACATTGGCCAAAGATTTAACGAAGTCACTGGTGTAGCTTCTTTAGAATATATATATTATTATTCTCATAAAGTTTGTAGACCGCCCGTCTAAGTACTCCCTTGTCAAAGTTGTCAAGGATGGTTTTACGTCCCGGTTTTGCTTTTGAGACGGCCCCTGTCTTGTTTGATTTGTTGGTAAGACATACCAACAGCTCTACAAGTTCTGTAATAAACCATTTCTAAACTAATGAGGTTTACCTCTGTCTTTTTCAAGCACAAAAATCATATAAACCTTTGCAACAACTGACTGCAAATAGTGGACGCTGTGATAAAGATGTACATGCATGACGGGAAACTTATTTATCAAGACTTAACATTTTTATTAATATTGCTTCAATAAAGAAACGATAATTAAGCAGAGTAACACAAACATTCAACATTTATTTGTTAAAGAAAAACATTAATTCATATTTTTACACCACCTGTATTATTAGCATAAATGTAAAGACTATTTCAGATTTCTGTTGTTGAAATCCTAAGTTGTTGTTTTGGTACCATATTCTCACCTGTAAACTGACCTTTAAATGCATGGGAATGTTAAATCGATTGAAATAAAAATTAGGTACAGTATAGGCGAGTTGATATATTGACAACATAGTACATTTATCACCTTTATCAAAGTATTAAGGCTAAAAAGCATTTTTGTAGCATTTCCGACAGTACTTTAGCACAGTAGGTCCTGCTAGCACGGACGGGTCATACAAGCACATCGATATATATGTATTGTCTGAGTTTGGTTTCTTCAGTAGTTTGTTGCAGATAAAATGAAAGAGACAATGTTTCATCCCAAAAAATATTTGTTTATCACATCTGTTGGGTTTCATGACAATAAAATGGTTTGGATATACCTTGTATTCACAAAAATGAGTGCATTTTAGCAATGATCGGAAAACATATGTTGTCCCAAAGAAAATACCTTCCCCCTGTTGATCATCCCCCTGCACTCCCCCTTCCCAGAGTATCCCAGTTGCGGAAATTGGTATTCATTATGTCAATCACTGAATTGTCTGGTCAAGACTTGATTATGTACAGACTGTCATCATCTAGGTGGAAAGTGGCTGAGTGTGGCATTAAACAACAAAGAACGCCCAATGGTCCGCCCCTTAGACATGCGACCATGCCCCATTGTTTCCACACTGGAACACACATTCATACCTAGAACAAATATCAACTCCCCATCAGCTGAGATCCAATTGGTTTTATTTTTTTGTCAAGTTACTGGTACAAAAAAATCTGTTGCTTCTTGATTGGTGTGGAAGCAGAATCAATAGGAATAGTGTTTCTTTACCATTTTACCCATAATGCAATTTAGGTTGACTTGTAACCATGATGGAAAAATACCAGGCTTGCTTTGAAAAATGAGTGGGCGGAACAGTTGAAGAAGTGTTTTTTTCCCTTGAAGCTGATTATTTCCAGTACAGCGTTTGGGATGGAGCCAGTATGTGTTTGTTTTGTGTCAGGATATTGGTCACTGCATTCCTATATATACTAGGTAGTGTGTGTGTTGGGGCCGGGGGTAGCCTTGTGCTTAAAGTGCGAGCTTGTCACAAGGCCCTGGTTTGATTTTCCACATGAGTGCAATGTGTGAAGCTCATTCCTGATGTCCCACGCTGTGATATTGCTGGAATATTACTAAAAGCGGTGTAAAATCCAACTCACTCACTGTGTGTGTTGGTGGGTGGGTGTGCATGAATGGGTGGGGGGTGGTGTCGATGGCAGTGGTTAGGGTGTGTGCGGATCGTGGGGATATGGGTCATTGTGGCCAGATGGCATTGTATCACCTCATGGTTTAAGTCACCGGTTTGTCTAGTCCAGACTTGATCATTTACGAGGTGCTGTGAGGAAGAGTGGAACTGCCGACTGCAGCATTCACTCAGTAATATACTCACCGTACATATAGATATATATCTTCCCAGATTTTCGGTATGTGATGCTGTGAATTTACTGTGGGTGTTTATCAGGCCACTATGTTGCTGCTGCTGTTGTTGTTGCTGTTGCTGTTGTTGAAGTTGAACTTCTTGTTTGTTTCAGGCTTGTACAATGGCCCACATGCAACTTGAAGTGGAAAAACAGCTTAAAAAGAAATCTCCTATAGCAGATATGGTGAGTTAAGTGAAAAGTTAGGTGATAAGGTGAAAAGGCTTAACATATGGTGAGTTCTGGCATAGTGAGTTTTTATATGGTGAGTTATGACAAGGTGAATCATGACATATGGTGAATCATGACCTATAGACAGTTGTGACATGGTGAGTTGTGGTATGGTGAGGTTATATATGGTGAGTTGTGACATGGTGAATCATGACCTATGGTGAGTTGTGATATGGTGAGGTTATATATGGTGAGTTGTGACATGGTGAATCATGACCTATGGTGAGTTGTGACATAGTAAGTGAAAGTTCTCAGCTGATATAGTGTATTTCCTGCTATGGTATTGAGAAGTATTTAATTGATCTAATTGCTTCTCTCATAAAGGTACCGTATACCGGGAAATTTTCGAGGTATCTAATTTTCGAGGTTTTCGAGGTTAGAAGCGCAACCTCGAAAATATTATATCCATGAATTTTTCCGAACTTCAAACCTTTGGGTTAGATTTCCTATCGATAAGCATTTCAACTGCTAGCAACCAATGACTTCCTGACATGCGCATTAACTCTTTAATGCCTGTCTACAACTAATCTTAACGTTCAGTGACCCTGAACGGCCTGAATGAACAAACAACAGAAATGCGGTGTCGAGATTATTTAATTGTGTTGTAATTGTTGGTCCAGAATAACATGCATTATAAAAAATAGGTAATTCAATCAGTGTGTTACATGTGAAGTCAAACCAACTGTCAATACACTCGATGTCACTCTCTGGCCAAACGGACCGCATCGGCGATGCCAGGTTTGATGAATGCGCATCTTTAAGGGGATTGTTTACACAAACATCCTGGGGCTGTAAGGCATCCGTGCTGTTGGTCAGTTTAAGCTAAAGAGGTCAACTTGTCAGCTTTCTAACAACAACATAGTTTCAGCAGAGACCCATCATACATGCTTATAGTTAGTTGTTAAAAAAACAATATCGTCTGAGAAAAAATGGCGTCATGTTTGAACACTGCCGACAGAGTGTTTCATGGGTAATTTATCACAACAAAGGAACAAAGGGTTGTTTTCATTACTATTATTTCTGCCATGGACTGGTATGCCGGTAGTTATAACAGTCAGACGGCAGTTATCACTGGCTACTTGTCCATAGTTCACTGAGTATTAATCCGGTAAGTCATGTTTCTGGGCACTTTCTTCTAACCTCGAAATTAAAATTGTCTAAAATATTTATATATTTTAGGCCCCCAAACCTCGAAATTTAAATCACCTCGAAAGCTCTGGGGGTCTCAAACCTTGAAATGTTAGTACCTCGAAAATTTCCCGGTATACGGTATACTATTTATACCCAGATAGAGGGTGAGATACTAGCTTGGTGTATATACTATTTATACCCAGATAGAGGGTGAGATACTAGCTTGGTGTATATACTATTTATACCCAGATAGAGGGTGAGATACTAGCTTCGGTGTATATACTATTTATACCCAGAGGTGAGATACAGCCCGGGTGTATATACTATTTATATAGCTAGAGGGAGATACTAGCTATTTTATACCCAGATAGAGGGTGAGATACTAGCTTGGTGTATATACCTATTTATACCCAGATAGAGGGTGAGATACTAGCTTCTGGTTGTATATACTATTTATACCCAGATAGAGGGTGAGATACTAGCTTGGGTGTATATACTATTTATACCAGATAGAGGGTGAGATACTAGCTTGAGGTGTATATACTATTTATACCCAGATAGAAGGTGTGCTCGGGTGATACTAGCTAGGGGGCAGAGATACTATAGGGTGTATATACTATTTATACCCAGATAGAGGGGTGAGATACTAAGCTTCGGTGTATATACTATTTATAAGCCTAGTGGTTAAAGCGTTGGCTCGTCAATGAAGACCGGGTTCAAGACCCTGGTTCTAATACATGGGCAATAATGTGTGAAGCCCATAGATGTTGGAATATTGAGATCAGTCAGTTATACACCCAGAGGGTGAGATACTAGCTTGGTGTATATACTCATTTATACCCAGATAGAGGATGAGATACTAGCTTGGGTGTATATACTATTTATACCCAGATAGAGGGTGAGATACTAGCTTGGGTGTATATACTATTTATATCCAGATAGATGGTGAGATACTAGCTTGGGTGTATATACTATTTATATCCAGATAGATGGTGAGATACTAGCTCGGGTGTATATACTATTTATACCCAGATAGAGGGTGAGATACTAGCTTGGGTGTATATACTATTTATACCCAGATAGAAGGTGAGATACTAGCTCGGGTGTATATACTATTTATATCCAGATAGAGGGTGAGATACTATCTCGGGTGTATATGCTATTTATACCCAGATAGAGGGTGAGATACTAGCTTGGTGTATATACTATTTATACCCAGATAGAGGGTGAGATACTAGCTTGGTGTATATACTATTTATACCCAGAAAGAGGGTGAGATACTAGCTTGGGTGTATATACTATTTATACCCAGATAGAGGGTGAGATACTAGCTTGGGTGTATATACTATTTATACCCAGATAGAGGGTGAGATACTAGCTTGGGTGTATATACTATTTATACCCAGATAGAGGGTGAGATACTAGCTTGGTGTATATACTATTTATACCCAGAAAGAGGGTGAGATACTAGCTTGGGTGTATATACTATTTATATCTACTTCAAAAAACTATCACAAAGGTGCTACTGTCTGTTATCCGATTTAGTCATTGTGATGTAAGGGGACACAACTGTGTAACTCACTCTAAGGAGTTGCTTCCCCTTGAGATGTCAGGACCTGTTTGATTTGAACCCATAGTCAACACTCATCCCAGCTCTTGGCTTTCACCAAAATGATAATTGCTCTGACCAGGGTCACTTTGGTCCCTCATTAAACCGATGTGCTGTGATAGAAATGTAGTACTTGATTTGTCTACAACAGGATGTTTCCATCACAGATGGCCATGTTGTCCATATCCTTGGATGTTCTTCATGTATTGAATGAGGAGTTGGTTCAGATGTTGATAGAGCAGGAACACTTTTCATGGATAGACATAGGATCTACCCCGAAACATAGCATCTATTGTCCATAAAGAAGTTGTCTATGCCCATCTAAATGCCAAAAGTGTTCCTCTTCCTCATGGGCACAATGTGTTAAGGTGGTGTCCCCGCCGTATACCAACTTCTAAATGCCACTTACAGAAATTTAGCCCATTTCTGGTTGAGATCTGGATGTAAAGTAAAACCAATGTGTTCCTCATGTGTTCCTCCATGTGTTGTCAGGTCTGAACGAGGAGTTGGTTCAGATGTTGATGGAGCGGGACGACCTGCACATGGAGCAGGACTCCATGTTGGTGGACATAGAGGACCTCAGCAGGTAGACCACGGTACTTTGCAACACGGTTTTTCTTTTTTGCATCAGCCACACTCAGCATAATGGTGAAACGTGGTAAAACTCTCCGTCAAAGTCATTTCTTCATCTTATTTATTAATCACCTTTTTTTGGAGAATACAATTAAAGTTTACAAAACAGTATTTCTCAGATCTGGATGTTATCTATTTTAAAACACATTAGCAGACTTATATATATTTTCTGTTTCAGAAATGACATGAAATCATTTTAATATCTTTTAATTATTTCAGTCATTATTGACAAGGTAGGAAAGGGAATTCTTTTCATCATATTGATGCTTTTAGGCTGTGACAAATTTTACAGAATCTGACAGATCAGTTCATATATCCCATGCAATTGCTACCAGCAGCCTTGAATTTCATGCTCTTGACATTTTCCCATTCAAAGAAATATTTAGAATATTGTGTATAAATGTCATATCCCAGTCTTACAAATTTATCAAACACCATTATGCTGTGTATAACTTGAAATGTACATTTTGTTTGTAGTATATGTTCTGTTATCATGTATTAATAAGTTTGCCATTTTAAATGCTATTTTCTGTGTTAAATCAGCACCTAGCTTCCATTTACCTCCTAGCTTTATGCTAAGACTCTTGTCTACGCTACGATACAGTTGTTACAATGTAGTGACGTTGTTTTCAATATGTTTTCCATTATTACGTCCTGAGTTTTGTATTTGTTTTGATAAATAGTTTCAAGTGTTGGCTTATAGGAGCATTTGGAAAGTCATCCACGTAAGTTGAGCTTCTGTAACTGGCATTCTCTGGTAGGACCAAGGGACTGACAAGTTCATATTTTGAGGAAAAGTCTGGGAGTTGTTTGTGAGATGTTTCTGTACCTAATCAAGGCATACAGTTCTGTGGGTCAGAGTTATTATATGCATGTTTTCATATCTCAAATGGGTAGATGAATTCTCATGACATTAATCACTGGATTGTCTGGTCCAGACAAGAATGTTCACAGACTGCCTCATAAAGCTGGACTATTGCTGACTGTAGTGTTCAACAACAAACATACAACTCTCACTTTCTTTCTATGTAAGGCCAGACCAATTTTATTTATTGTTTTACGGACCCGCGGTTGTATTTCTTTCAAGAATAAGAAAAAAAATGAGAATTAATTTTCCCTGCTAAAAAAATATAATCCTAATGTTTTTACTGGCCAAAAATGTAAACATACAAGAATTCTTTTTTAGAATGTATATTATACACTTCATAGATTGCCAAACGTAAAATACTTTTAGTAATTAGAAGGAATATTACCTTCACTGGTGATTATATTTTTTTAATTTTTTCCTTCCTGCCTTTAGGTTTTCTGAGGACAAAAATCCGTAAAGCAAGAAGTAAAATTGGTCTGGCCTAATGAGGGATTTTATTAGCACACGCGATCTCTGAACATCCAACATATCCAAGGAACAATTATTGTTTGAGATCTTTGTTATACCTGAGCCTAAACACAGGACCCAGAACATCATAATGTCAGACCGTAAGATTTCATGTTACTTTTTCAATTGGCATATCAATATTGTGATGATCATATTTATTTCCAGACGAGCGAAAGAGGTAGCACAACAGGCCACAAACAACAACTCGCCAAGCTCCAGTAACCATAACCGACCCCGGAAAAAATGAAGATTACTTGTGCCTTGTTCAAGGCCCGCTGTGTTTTAGTTTCTCAGTTTGAAGACAGTTTATACAAGACGGATGTGGCAAATATCTGAGACATTGTGTGAAAGACAGGACTGTGGGAAGAAGTGAAGTGTTATAAAGTGTCATACTAAAGGAGGTTTGAAAGCTACTGTGCTGTTGTTGAACAAATGTGAAAGTATCATATTGTAACAGATGTGAAAGGGTTAACACGTTATGTTGTAACAGATGTTGCAATTTTTACTGCAGTATGTTGTAACAGATGGGCAAGTTTTACAGCAGTGTTATAATGTTACTATGTTACAGCAGCATGTTGTTACAAGGTTACAAGAACATGTTGTAACATATGTTACAGTGTATATTGTAACATATGGTACAATGTTACAGTGTGTGTTGTAACAGATGGTACAATGTTACAGCAGTAAAACATGTTACAGTGTGTGTTGTAACAGATGGTACAATGTTACAGCAGAACACATGTTACAAACATGTTACAGTGTGTGTTACAGTGTGTGTAACAGATGCTCAGTGTGGGGTACTAATGGTTAGCATCAGAAGGCCCGGTTCGAACATGGGTACAATGTGTTAAGCCCATTTCTGGTGTTCCCGCCATGAGTGCTGGTGTTGCTAAGCGTGAAATATGACTCAGTCAGTCAGTGTAACAGATGGTACAATGTTACAGCAGTAAAACAGATGTTACAATGTTACAGCAGAAAACATGTTACAATGTTACAAGTATATGTTATAACAGAGGTGAAAGTGTTAAAGCTCTGGAAGAGATATGAAAGCTCTACAACACTGTTTTATAACACACATTGGGATTTGTCATGAAAGCTTTATTTCAAGGTTTACATATTTGATATTGTTTGTATAAACTGGGAGTGGATTGAATGCTGTCAAAAGAGCATTGGTTGAGTGGTGAGACTTCAATACTGGCCTTGTGAACATCACTTGTCATAGTGGCTGTTATTTATTTTCAGTTACTGATATCAGATGCTTGTCAGAATCAGATAATGGATAAGTTTATCCAACATAAGTTTATATAACAAGTTTATATTTCTTTAACAAAAATAGTGTCAATGTAATGTCTGGTTAACTATTCATTTTCAGTTTAAAGTGTGCCAAGAATTCAGATTTGATGAAAAGTGCATTCTAACAAACAGGGTTCGGAATACCTTATATTCAAATGACTTAAGATCATCTGACATGACTGATGCTTATTCAACATAGCCTTCCAGTTGTGGGTGTATTTGATCTTATTTGGAGTTGTGTAATATGGCCTGAAGACATTGATTTGTGAGGGAAACTGGAATTGTGTGACTTGTACAGTTTGCATGTTTTGATATTTTGATACAATATTTCTGTTTCATTGGAAATGTGAATGTTTGACTTGTGACTGCAAGGAATGAGATTTGTGACATAGGTTTGTGAACAACACAGATTATGTTGTTCAGGAGAGGAAGGTATGGAATGTGGGTTCTTATTAACAAGGTCTAAGTATTCCTGGGTTATGGGAGGTTTACTCAAATGCATGGAACATTATTGCACTGAATGAATCTGAAAATGCTCTGCAGTTGGAAATGATTTTTGACATTTTTCATTCGATCAATGAATCTCCAGCAAAGTGTTGCCATGGATACTGTTGATATGTGCCATGGTTACTCATTGCTATGGTTACTATCAGGCAACATGTTGCCTCAGATGCTATTACAATGGATGCTGTAGCTGTAAAGCAATGGTTTCTCATTGCTATGGTTACTATCAAGGAAATGTTGCCATGGTGACAATGGCCATTTCAAATGGTTACCATAGTTTCTATCCAGTAATGAATACTATTGTCATGGATGATGTTACTTTGTTCCCACGGTTACTCATTGCTATGACTACTGTTTGTAAATATGCAATGATGAAATGACTGTAAAATGTTACACTACTTCTCTGACAATGTAACTTACTTGTTTGGCGAGTGTTATTCTGGGGAGATGAATATGTGTATATGTTTTTGATGTAAGGCATAATAGATCCCCTCTCTGTGGTAGCAGCGACAAAGGTTTCCTCAAATCCCTCAGCAGTATAAAAGAAACAATACCCTTGTCAGAATCTCAGTTCTCCAAATCGTGGAATGCTTCAGTTGATGTAGTTATGTTGACATCAAGGTCATCAGGTTGCTTTATAATGAATATATATATATATGTATATAAATATAGTAGTACGAAAGAATCGAGTGGTCATTAACTTACGGGGTCGTATAAGTCACCATGAATTGCAGAGGACAAAAAATGCTGGTTGAATACGTTCAGTGTATTCACCATGAAACTGACCAATATTGCCTCTCCTGGGATAAAAGCTTGACAGAATCAGGTTCTTGAGAGGCATATGGAAGTTAGTATTCAAGTATGAGACAAAATATTATGGATGTCAACTTCTTCTTTATTGTATACACAATGTTTCTGGGGTAGGGCGGTGGGGTAGCCTAGTGGTTAAAGCGTTGGCTCGTCACGCCATAGACCCAGGCTCGATTCCCCACATGGGTACAATGTGTGAAGCCCATTTCTGGTGTCCCTGCCCTGATATTGCTGGAATATTGCTAAAAGCGGCGTAAAACTAAACTCAGTCAGTCAGTTTCTGGGGTATTCCTGACAAAGGGGCAACGAATAGCCCAGAAACGGTGTGTATACAATAAAGAAGAAGTTGACATCCATGATATTTTGTCTTATACTTGACAGAATCAGCCCCACACTACCGGTAGTCAATACACAAGGGGAAGGAGAACTGAGCCTGTCAGGACATGCCTTCGTCATCGTCAGACCATTATGTTATCCTCTTGGATGTGATTTATTTATTTACTAGCTTCAAAATGATGTACTTCGTCTATCCCTGTTCTTTGTCTTGATAAAGAGATTAAATAAGAATGCATTTAGATGACGGGAATCATCACTGAGGTGTCTGTCAGGCTTCTGGAGGTAGGTCAGGCTGAACGTTAAATGCCTTTGAAATTCATGCAAGTAGCCTAGACTAATATATTTTGCCTAGAATAATTATAGTAATTGTGCGGAAAGTTACAATGATGGTAAACCACATGGGGAGAATTTGAGGGTTACAATTCTTAACCAGCCCTCAATAGTATAAAATTGAAAAAAATATAATCATAACATTTTTTTCATGTTGGTATAAGGAAACATTTCTATAGTGGGCATATAAACTGATGAGGGTTATAACTTGTATAATGTTGGTTTATTTAGATTATATAAGGATGTTAATGTATAGTACAGCAGTTCAATTAAATTGCTGATGTTTCATGAACACTTGTGTAAGTGATTTTTTAATAATATACAAGAAAATATTTCAGGAAATGGAATAAGTGATCTTATTCCACAGTTTTTATTTTTATTTTTCAAACTTGAATCCCACTGAATTATATTTTTCTTTCAATTGTGTTCTTCATCATAATACCTGTAATTTACTATCATACAATTTGTAATAGATTTTCTACATAATTGTCTCTAATTGTTTTATTTTATTTATGATTGTCATCAAAAACTGTCACAATAGGACATAGGAAGTATTTAGAAGAATGATTGTGATCATGATTGTTTACTTCAGCTAGCCTGATCAGGTGTCAGATCACCCTGGTCTTACTGTGTCACTTGAGAATCAAATAATCAAAATACACAAATCAATTCTAGATGGTCGTCAGTGATCCACGAGTCTTGATTTGAAGACAGTCAAGTTATGGTGCCATAGAATGCTTAAGCCTGTTTAAGCAAATTGTTAAATAGTCAGCTTCAGAGTAAGTGGTCTTTGACAACCTTTTTTACCGTTTACTTCCTGTGTGTATATACTGCCTTGTAAAATGGTGGTAAATGGCGATTGTAAGTTATGAAGTGTCCGTTACCATGGAAACGGTTTCTGCAACTTGTTTGTACAAACGAAAAAGATGTTGTTGATAGTTGTACGCTGGTATGCATTTGTCCTGTTTGCAGATATGCATGGAGTTATTATACTTTTCATTTGTCCAAAGGTTGTGATTTGTTCATTGGGCCGTACTTTGAATTTTCATTGTTTCCGTCAAACCGAGCATTGTCCTCATGCATATTGATTTTTTTTTAAAACCAGTTTACTCATTGTATTTTATTCAAAATGTATCTCCATTTTACAGGTTGGTACATTGACCCTTGGTGATACCATTTTGTTATGCAAACCTTCAATTTGATGTTCATAGGATTTTTACTTTTAGTTTCTGCTGTTACTTGTGTTTTTCTGCAGAAGCATCAAGCCGGAAATATTTGCCTTCGTTTAAGTTGAATCAAGGAAAATTATAAGTGAATTAATATTGAGGAGAAACAAAATATACTGGGAGATGCAAGTTGTCTCCCTTGGTTACACCATTTTTTTATAGTGCATTATGGCTGTATGCCAATGTCTCTCTATTTATTTTAGAATGTTGGTGATGTTTCATAACGTCATAATGACGTGATTGGAGTGATAGCATTAGTTTGGTTGAGGATTTCACTCCACATAGAGTTATCAGGTTCTAAGGCTAATTAATTAATTGCCTTACATGCTCACATCTCATTGTATCAGTATTTTTGTGTCTATCTGGTCATGATGTCATCGCATTATTAAGTCTACCTGCATGTTTGTGTGTTCAAATTCACCATCGAACCAACTTATTTTGCCAAATGTTGATCTTATGAATGTCTTGTAAGTCTTATTGTCTTTATGATGAGCTCTGAGAGGTTCTTTGTCAGGAGCATCAAGAAAGAGTGACTGACTGGTGTGAGATGTAAGATCTGTATCTAAGATACCAATATCAATTCCAGTCATGGATCGTTTAGTCAAGTGCTCATGTGAATACATTTCTCAGAGATTAATACATTTCTCAGAGGTGAATACATTTCTCAGAGGTGAATACATTTCTCAGAGATTAATACATTTCTCAGAGATGAATACATTTCTCAGAGGTGAATACATTTCTCAGGGGTGAATACATTTCTCAGAGATGAATACATTTCTCAGGGGTGAATACATTTCTCAGAGATGAATACATTTCTCAGAGGTGAATACATTTCTCAGAGGTGAATACATTTCTCAGAGATGAATACATTTCTCAGAGATGAATACATTTCTCAGAGCTCAATCTAATGATGAAACATTTCGATCATTGTGTGTATGAGCTAGAACAATCAAAATATTTATTTTAACTTTTAATTTCCTCACTTCTTAATGTTGAATTACACAGACACCAGTTTGTGGTCTCTGAATTACAATAGATCTTTGATTTTAATACTCAGTGGTTATAACTGACACTTTTCTAATGGATGAGTCATGTGTTTATTCAGGTTTGTGTTTTCTTGTTTACAAAACCAGTCCCCCCAGCGGAGGTTGATATTGACGATATTGCCTATGCATTGTTGAATTTTTTAATATGAGGCTTGCATTTTTTTCTCTCTGTTTCAAGTGTATGCATAGTAAGCATTTATTGAATGCATATTGCAAATGCTTAAGAACGTAGAATGGTGGTTGATA